TTTTTAAGTCAACCACGGTTTCTCTCCAAAAAAGCAGGAAGTTGGAAAATTACAGTAATCCTGATTGTGAGAAAATTACAGTAACCATTTCACTATGTCAGAGAGGGGCTACAGTAGCCAATATGGGTGAAACTACAATAATCCAAAAACATTTCTCTAGAAAAGTTACAGTATCGGTATATTTTTTATCTGTATAAATAATGTTGGATTACTGTAGCCCCTCTCTGACATACTTAAATGGTTACTGTAGTATACTGTAGTTTGTTTCCCTCCAACAAAAACAGGAATTTGGAAAAGAAAACTACAGTAACCCTTTCTAAAAATAACCGAATCTTCAGTCACTTAACGCCATCATCGCCGCCATGGAACAGCTGAAAATCGAGTACGAAAAGGAGGAGCACAGAGCGGATGCCAGAAAAGTGTTGGCATTTGGAGCGACGGGAGAAGAAGACGAGATTCCAGATGAGCTGGCTGCACTGATGAAGAGTGTATGGTCGGATGAGGGTATTCAGAAGGCAGTCGCGAGGTTGGTTAGAGGGAAATTGGAGGAAAAAATTAAGAGAAAATTGCGAAAAATTGAGCCAAAATAAGCAAAAAAAACGTGGAAAATGAGCTGAAATTGCTGAAAAAAAAAGAGCTAAAACTGTCAGAAAAGGTGTAAAATAGGTGAGAATCGCGAGCGGAACGGTTGAAATGAGCTGAAATCGCTTTTAAAAAATGTTGAAAATTGCGAAAATAGAGCCAAAATGAGTCAAAATTGCCAGAAAATTTGCAAAAAAAACCGAAATTGGCAGAAAATAGATCCAAAATGAGCAAAAAATTGTGGAAAATGAGCTAAAATTGCTGAAAAAAAGAGCTAAAACTGCCAAAATTGTGAGAAAAAGAGTTGAAAATTGCGAAAATAGAGCCAAAATTGCGAGAAAAATTGCAAAAAAAAAAACCGAAATTGGCAGAAAACTGAGCCAAAGTGAGCTAAAAATCGTTAAAAATGAGCCAAGATTAGTCCGAAAATTTTAAAAAAATCGACTTATTCCATTCCAGATCCCGCGAATATCAGCTCAACGACTCGGCAGAATACTATTTGAGTCAGCTGGATCGAATTTGTGAGGCCGACTACATTCCCACGCAGGTATGGCTCGATTTTTAGGCATTTCGTCTGAAATTTCGGCCAAAAATTGGAAAATTTTAGCCAGAAATTGGAACTTGGCTGGAATTTCAGCCAGAAATCGAAAAATTAGAGACATCCAGATACACAGAGATAGACACATTTTTCAGGATGACGTCCTCCGAACACGAATCAAGACGACGGGCATCGTCGAGACGCAGTTCATCTTCAAGGATAGGCTTTTCGTGTGAGTTTGATGTGCAGGTGGTTTTCTGGGGGGTTACTGTAGTTCCATGGGAATACGGTAACTGGCAGTTACCGTAAAATCTGTATTAGAAGGGCCAGCTCTTCTATTTTTCCAAGGTTTCCCCGGAGGGCCCTTCTATTAGAGGAGGTGCCTTCTAATACAGGTTTTACGGAATAATTCTCGTTTGAATTACTGTAGTCTTCTCTGACTTTTTGAAATGATAAGTATAGTTTTTCCCTTGATTAATGTAGTTTTTTCCTGGATTACTGTAGATTATAATTTACACATCTTTGTTTTTGGATTACTGTACTCTTCACTTTTTTTTGCTTTTCTTTGGATTACTGTAGTTTTCTATCTGGATTACTGTAGTTTTCACCGGGTTACGGTAGGTTGAGGTATCCGAATGGTTTTTATGCCTTTGGGATTGCAGTAATTTTCGATTTTTCCCACGTTTCTCTCTCTCTCTCTCTGGATTACTGTAGTTTCCCCATTAATTCACTGTAGTTTTCTATGGATTACTGTAGGTTAAAGTACACATTTTTCTTTCTGGATTACTGTACCTTTTCCGAATGGTTTTTATGATTTTGGGATTACTGTAGTTTTCTCTATGGATTACTGTATTCATTTTTTTTTCAGTGTATTCGACGTCGGCGGTCAGCGATCGGAGCGAAAAAAGTGGATTCACTGCTTCGAAGACGTCACCGCGTTGATCTTCTGTGTCGCCATGTCCGAGTACGATATGGTGCTGATGGAGGATCGAAAAACGGTAAAAATTGGGGATTTAGGGAGGAAAATGCTCATTTTCAGCGATTTTTGACCTAAAAAACAGAGAAAATTGAGATTTTTGGACGAAAAATGAAGATTTTTGAGTGAAAATAGCGATTTCCACAAATTTTTGACCTAAAAATTGTGAAAAATCGAATTTTGGATTTTTTGAAATTTCTGTAATTTTCAGGAAAAAAATCTGAAATTTTATTAAAATTCAAAAAATTTCGGAAAATCTGAAAATTCTGAAAAAAATTCGAATAATTCTGAAAAGTTTTAATTTTTGGAAAATAGAAAAATTCAAAAAAAAAATTTTTTTTTCGAAATTCTAAAAATTCTGAAAAAATTACAAAAAAAAAACAATTCAAAAATTGTCCAAAAATCATAGTTTTCTCTGGTTTACTGTACTTTTTTCTCATCAGATCACTGTATCGATTACTGTACTAATTACTGTATCAAACCATTTCCATTGAATAACTCCGAAAAAATCGATTTTTTTCGATCTGAAAAATCTGAAAAATCACACATTGCTCATCTCAAAATTCGGAAAAAAAAATCGATTTTTTGATCTTAACATCACATATTGCTCATCTGAAAATTCGAAAAATATCGATTTTTTAATCTGAAAAATCTGAAAACTCGCCCATTGCTCATCTCAGAAATCTCTCAAAATTTGCAGAATCGAATGCGCGAATCGCTGAAAGTGTTCGACTCGATTTGCAACAGTAAATGGTTCGTCGAGACTTCGATCATTCTATTCCTGAACAAAAAGGACCTGTTCGAGGAGAAGATCAAGAAGTCCCCGCTGACATATTGCTTCCCAGAATACACGGGACACGACAACTTTGACGATGGATCAGCATTCATTCAGAAGCAATTTGAGATTGTTAACAAGAGACAGGGAGGACAGAAGGTGAGGCGATTTTTACGGGTTTTGGGAGGAATTTTGGGGTGAAAAATGGAGAAATTTGGATTGAAATTGCTAGAAAAAGTGGTTCTGAAACGTCGCAGTTTTAAAATTTCATAGTTCTGAAATGTCACAATTCTAAAATTTCACAGTTCTAAAGTGTCGTAGTTTTTGAATTGTCGCAGTTCGAAGACGCCCAGTTCAAAAGCGGTTGAAATGTCAGTTCTGAATTGCCATAGTTTTGAATTTTCGCAGTTCTGAAACGTTGCGGTCCTGAAACGTCGCAGTTCTGAAATGTCACAGTTCGGAACTGTCGCAGTTCAGGAATGTCGCGGTTCTTAAACGTCGCAGTTCTAAAATGGCATAGTTCTGAACTGTCGCAGTTCTAAAATGTCACAGTTCTAAGACATCACAGTTCTAAAACGTCGCAGTTCCAAAATGTCGCAGTTCTTAAATGTCACAGTTTTCATAGTTCTAGAACGTCGCAACTGTTGAGTGTCAGAACTGACCATTTAGAACTGTCGTATTTCAGAACTGCGACGTTTCAGAACAATAAATTCCAATTTAAAAAATTCGAAAAATTTGAAAACTTCAAATTTGAAAAATAGGACATTTTAGAACCGAGGGTTCCGAAATGTCCTAAAACGACGTTTCGCAACTATCGCGAAACCAAACTAGACGTTTTAGAACTGCACCGTTTCGCAACTTTCTTCCTCCAAAATGAAACCTATCCTAAACAAAGGGTCATCCTAGAACCGCGACGTTTCAGAACTGCGACATTTTAGAACTGCGACATCATGGAACTGCGACATTTCAGAACTGCGACATTTCAGAACTGCGACATTTTAGAACTGTGGCACCTTAGAACTGCGATGTTTCAGAACTGTGACATTTTAGGACCGCGCGACATTTCAGAACCAGACCATTCTAGAACTGTCCAAGAATTCGAAAATTCTATAAAAATTGAATTTTCATCGTTTTCCAGGAAATCTACACCCAATTCACATGTGCCACCGACACGAACAACATCCGATTCGTCTTCGACGCCGTAACCGACATTGTGATTCGGGACAATTTGCGCACGTGTGGTCTCTACTAGCCTCTGAAAATGTCTGAAAATATCTGGAAATTTTCAAAAAAAAAAATCATAATTTCATGTTTTATCCTTCTCCATTTTCCCCTCATCTTATCCACTTTTTTTCCTTTGTTTTCTATTTTTCAAATATCATTTTTTGAGATTTTTTGAAAATTTTAACTTTTCAAAAATCTTCAAAACCCCTCCCCTCCCCTCCCACTGACAAAAATTCCGGTATGTTTATTATTTTTTTTATATGTATTGACCTTTTTTTTCTCCCCATCCCACTGCTCTATTCGATACGGTTCTCTCATGCCTCTTTTTGTTTTTTTTTGTTTGGACGGTTCTAGAATGGTCTGGTTCTGAAATTTCGCGCGGTTCTAGAATGACAATTTTTAAAGATAGATTTTGTAGGGAAAAAGTTGCGAAACGTCCGATTTTCCGAAATGTGATGTTTTAGAACTTTTTGGTTCTGAAATGTCCGATTAAAAAAATAAGACGTTTCAGAACTTCTTGTTTCTGAAATGTCATATTTTGAAAAATAGGACGTTTCAGAACGTTTTGGTTCTAGGATCTCTTATTTTTCTAAATGCGACATTCTAGAAATTTTTGGTTCTGAAATGTCGCGAGGGTTCTAGAATGGCTTACAATTTTTTAAAGATAGGTTTGATTTTGGAGGGGAAAAGTTGCGAAACGTCGTAGTTCTAAAGCGTCTAGTTAGGTTTCTTGATAGTTCCCAAACGTCGTTTTAAGAACATTTCGGAACCCTTGGTTCTAAAATGCCCCACGACGTTTTAGAAATTTTTGGTTCTGAAATGTCCTATTTTTAAAAATGTGACGTTTTAGAACTCTTTGGTTCTAGGATCTCTTATTTTTCAAAATGCGACGTTTCAGAACTTTTTGGTTCGAGGATGTCTGTTTTTCCGAAATACGACATTTTAGAACTTTTTGCTTCCGAAATGACTTGTTTTTCAAAGTACGACGTTTTAGAACTTTTTTTCTGAAATGTCCCATTCTTCGAAAAGTGATATTTGAGAACTTTTTTGTTCTAAAATGTCTATTTTTCAAAATTGGACGTTTTAGAACTTTTGGGTTCTAAAATGTCCGATTTTCCAAAATGCGACGTTTTAGAACTTTTGGTTCTGAAGTTTCCTATTTTGAAAAATAGGACTTTGTAGAACTATATGGTTCTAAAATGTCATATTTTTCAGAATACGACGTTTTAGAACTTTTGGTTCTAGAATGTCCTGTTTTGAAAAATAGGACGTTTTAGAACTTTTCGGTTCTAAAATGTCTGATCTTCCAAAATGCGACGTTTTAGAACTTTCCGAAAGTTCTACAAATTCTTTTTTGTACTTTTTTTTCGAAAACCTAATTCTAAGTTTAGACTACTGTAGTTCTAAACCGTCACAGTTCTATAATCCGTCAACAGTTCTAAAACGTCCTTATTTTTGCTATTTTCCCCCTCCCTTCCCTCATCACGATGCCTTACTGAAAACCAATTTTACTGGTAACTGATTCTTCATTTTTTTCAAATTCTCTCCCTTTTTTGCTCTTTCAACTGACACCAAACTACACACAAAACTGACTCTATGAATATCATTTTTTTAATTTTTTAATTTTCTTTTTTTTAAATTTTGTTGGCTCGTGAAGTTGGATTTCAATCCACATAATCGGAAAAGAAGCGAAAAAATCAGCAAAATTTGAACAATTCTAGCCTTTTTATGGTGCTGAAAATGCGTGTCTTACACTGGTGTCTGATTGGTTTTCTCACTGCTGCGCTGCTCCCAGTCGAATCTAAATATCGATTCAGATTTCGTGAGTTTTTGGCCTGGAAAATCAGAAAATTGGGAAAAAAATCGATTTCTAACAATCTGGGACATGTGAAATTCAAGAAAAAATGGTTCTGAAAAAGGCTGAAATTCAGTCCCTAATTTCTGAAAATTTGAAATAGAAAATGTCGAAAATCGGAAAATTCTGAAAATTTCAAAATTCTGAAAACTTAAAAATTCCCAGAAATAGAGAAGTTTCAAGCCGAAACCTAGCGATTTCGAAAATCAGAATTTTCGAAAAATCTAAAAATTCCAGATTTTTAAAAAAATATCGCTGAAAATCTACAATTCTAGAAACTTATAAAAATTTTGAAATTTCCGAAAAACTGAAAAAAAATTTTGAAAAATCTAAAAATTTGAGACTCTTCGAAACCGGTCATTTCGAAACCGCGACACTTCGAAACCGGTCATTTCGAAACCGCAACACTTCGAGACCGAGACACTTCGAAGCCAGTCACTTCGAAACCGCGACACTTCGAAACAAGACATTTCGAAACCGCGACACTTCGAAACCGCGACACTTCGAGACCGCGACACTTCGAAACCGGTCATTTCAACACTATGTGACACTTCGAAACCGGTCATTTCGAAACCGCGACACTTCGAAACAAGTCATTTCCTAATCGCGACACTTCGCGACCGAGACACTTCGAAACCAGTCACTTCGAAACCGCGACACTTCGAAACCGCGACACTTCGAAACAAGACATTTCGAAACCGCGACACTTTGAAACCGCGACACTTCGAGACCGCGACACTTCGAAACCGGTCATTTCAACACTATGTGACACTTCGAAACCGGTCATTTCGAAACCGCGACACTTCGAAAACGGTCATTTCAACACTATGTGACACTTCGAAAACGGTCATTTCAACACTATGTGACACTTCAAAACCAGTCACTTCGAAACCGCGACACTTCGAAACCGCGACACTTCGAGACCGCGACACTTCGAAACCGGTCATTTCACACTATGTGACACTTCGAAACCGCGACACTTCGAAAACGGTCATTTCAACACTATGTGACACTTCAAAACCAGTCACTTCGAAACCGCGACACTTCGAAACCGCGACACTTCGAGACCGCGACACTTCGAAACCGGTCATTTCAACACTATGTGACACTTCGAAACCGCGACACTTCGAAAACGGTCATTTCAAGCACTATGTGACACTTCAAAACCAGTCACTTCGAAACCGCGACACTTTGAAACCGCGACACTTCGAGACCGCGACACTTCGAAACCGGTCATTTCAACACTATGTGACACTTCGAAACCGGTCATTTCGAAACCGCGACACTTCGAAAACGGTCATTTCAACACTATGTGACACTTCGAAAACGGTCATTTCAACACTATGTGACACTTCAAAACCAGTCACTTCGAAACCGCGACACTTCGAAACCGCGACACTTCGAAAAAAGTCATTTCCTAATCGCGACACTTCGAAACCGG